TTTCTTCATTCTCCTTGATTGAATCACTGGCTTAGGACTAAGAAGAAACATAAGAAGGCAATCTTGCAAGAAATTTTTATGACTTGATGAGTGCTCTTATGTCATTATTATTCATGAGTTGGGCTATGGAATTTTCTTCATCCTCACTTGACTGAATCGCCAGCATAGGACTAAGAAGAAACGTAAGAAGGCAATATTGCAAGAATTCTTTATGAGTGCTCTTATGTCAATATTCATGAGTTGGGGTATGGGATGTCTGCTGTTTTGGCTGCAATAAGTTACTTAATACAATTGCTCTAAGTTATTGAATTGCTTCCGATGTAAGTGTGTATATGTAGCATGGAGAAATCACATATGCTTTGTAGACAAGGTATTGTAAAATGGAGCAAGAATATTAGTGGTCACAACTTTCATGAATAATTGTCGGAGTTATCACCTTATTCTAGACAATGTTGTGCGGTCCTCTGGACGCCTTATATCTACATCTAATGAGAATTGAGATGTATTTTGCTGCCAGAATGATGGTTGATAGGTATGATCTCAAGATTCAGTAAATTGAAGGGTTCTAGCTGTTGTGCTTTAGGTGGTGAGAATTTTGATTTGTCCTGCAAGACTGTGGAACTGTGTTTGGGAGGGTACAGGGAGAAGTAAATGCTTTCTGAAAATAAAAAGTCCATACAACAATCTGAAATGCATATTACCCTGCGAGATGCTTGAAGTTGTTGAAATACACGAGGAAGTGAGGATCTTGTCGATGTTTACTGTTTTTAGAACTTAGCAAATGTACTAAAATTTTATGCTCATTGAAGATTTTAATGGACTTATCAATTATCATAGTTCTCAACTGCTCAAAGCTCCTAATTCCTAAGGTTTGCAAGTACCTTCTGCTAGAGAGACAGTATTTCATCTGCTACTGTTATATTTAATATTATCTTAGCCAATATGCGTATAAATTTTACTTGCTATCAGCATGCCAGTCATACAAGTCAGTAGAGGTGATACGAAGCTGCTGATACAATGATTTAGATGAAAATTAGATCTTCATGCTGTGTTTTGTTTAGCACTTACTGTGAGTCTCTATCGTGTTTCTGCAAAAATCCTGAATGATGTAATATTTGTGGTGCTGTCATCTCCAAATTCTGGGTTGCTCATCTCACTAATCTGGTAACTGTTAGTTGGGAGTTGTTATAGGACACATGAACTTTCTCTAAGCAAGTGGTGCCTTTAAGACTTACCCACTTTGTTGAAGCTAAGTACTTTTCTTGAAGTTTTTTTTTATTTGTCTTGTCTCTATCACTATGTATGTGTTTGCATGAGCTTCACTTCCTGTGAATTGACATGTTACTTTCTTGTACTTTGATTCCTAAGTTCTTTTTGAATTGTTCAACTCGGTGGATTGTACCGTGGTTTACAATTTGCCTTTGGAAATCCATATACAGATATACTGATATACATGTTCAATTTCAATTTTTCGACATAAGGAAGTGTGAACTATGATTTTTGAGGATAGTTTTGGAAATGATTAGTAAAAATATTACCTGAATTCAATTTTAACTAATAATTTGACTTTTTTTTTTGTTTGACCAATATACCTCTGAAATAGATAGTAAACTTGGCATCTCTAGTATGTTTGATGTTTTTTAGCTAGGTTGCCTCAATTTTTTTTGTGGTTTGTTTAAGTTTGTTGTATTAGTTTTTCTTTTTTAGTTAACATCGTCTCCTCAATCTCTCTACTTTATTTTCTAACCTATATATAAATGACTAACTATATATCAACTCAATAGAACTCTTAACAAAATATTTTGTATAAGTTGAGCTATGAGGCAAACATTAGGATTGAGATAGGGAGTATTTTTTGGTAAACCATAAAAAGTATAATATGAAAAGTAATTGAAATTACAAAATACGTACACTCGCTCTGTATGTTTTTTTCATTCATTCATTGTATGTAGATCACTTTTCCGTAGACCATACTTTTAAGTAGAATAGATTAGATGTAAAATAAGAGTAAGATCATGTAAGCTACTTTTAAACATGGGTAGCAACTAGCAAGAGTTTGAGCTTTCTGTATTTGATATAGCACCATGCCCGCTAATTTAAAGTAAGATTTACTGATTTAGCTTGTAAATTTTAAAAGTACGTACGAGTATTGTATTAATATAGTGAATATGGAGTATTATCATAAAGTAATTACGATAATTTTTCCATATGTGAAGAGAAAAAACCCCAAGGCGGGAGCAACTTTAGTGGCAAACTAATTTGACAATTAGCTTGGCACGTCACATACTCACATAAGCTTTTAAACTAATTGTCTGGCTAGCTATTACCTTACACTTTAAATGAATCTCACCTTCTTAATTAACTTTTTATATTTTATTTTATTTATTCTATTCTATTATGGTAAGTTGTTTTCCAAGTAATTTGCTCATATTTTAGCTCCAATGGTCAAGCTACTAGCTAAGGACTATTTTATATTGCAAGCAAGTAAACAAGTTTCTGACTACAACCATTGAATTTGCTATAAATAGAATAGCACGTATGTATTGCGTAGCATGATAATCCCTTGAGATGATTCCAGGTGGGCGTTAACCCGCGTTTGGTAACATGGATTATTGTCCGGGGATAACACAGGTTATAGTCACAGGTCGGTGATATGTTCGTTTTATATAGTAATTTACCCTCGTCCCTTGGTCATTTTTAGGAGTATTATTGGCTCTTCGGAGTCACTTTTATTACTAATATGCGTTTTCTAGTGTTTTCGTAGTTTTGGTACTATTTTATAGGAAATTGCATATTTGGAGCACTTTCCCGGACTTATGATAAGCCACTACGAGCATTGGAGAATTATGACCGTATTTCATAGCCCAAGACCGGTTGGAGTCATCAAATCGGTGATTAAGGGCCCGACATAGAAGAGATCGAGGCAATGGACCAAGTATTCGAGATCCAAGAGGAAATTCGGAATTGGGCCAAGAGAAATAGCCCACAAGTGAAAAGGTTCAGCTTACCCGAACACTCGCCCGACCGGGCGAGACATATAGAAGAAAAAGAAGCCTTCGCCTTGAGGCGCGCCCGACCGAGCGCGAGTGAAGACTAGGGGATCAAAAAAGTGCGCCCGACCGGGCGCGTGTTTCTAAAGAGTTTAATGATTTAATTTCTTTTATCTTTTTAGCCTAAGTATAAATACGTTTTGTTTTAGGAAGTTAAGGATGTTTTTTACACTCTTTACTTAATTTTCGGATTTAGTTTAAGCTTTTGTTAATACTCTTACTTTCTCTCTCTACACTCTTGAGATTTATACAATTCATCATTTTCGTTTATTTTGGTAACGTTTTCTTCCCTTTTATTTTCAGTAATTTTATTGCTTAGATTAATTATGTCTTGCTTAATTGCTTTGATTAGTTTAGATTTAATTATGTGTGAGTAGTTTAATTCTAGGGTTATGGGGATCCATAAATAATATGAAGGGGTAGTTTATTATTGTTGATTGTCAATGCTCGATTGATTTCCTATTGGTTGATTTAATTTTGTGCAATTAGATTAGGCCTGGTTTAATTGTATGAGTTATGCAATATTGATTCGAGATTTGAGAGATGAGAATTGATGTTTAGGCTTGGTTTCAATAGGCAGGTTAATTTATAAATGGTTAAGTCAAGATTCGAGAGATGTGATTTAATGCCGGTAGATTAATGCTGTGATTGTAATACGTAGCAAAATCCCTTTATAATCTGATTAATTGATGCATTGGTAGTTGATTGTTGTGTTTTACCCTGGAATATTATTTATTGGTGAACCTATACCCTAGGCCTTTTATTATTGATTTCCTCCCTTAGTTTAATTATTTTCCATTAGTTTAATTCTCATTAAAGAACAATTTGGTTACTTGATAATTTAGATTATACTAATTGATTAGGAATAGAGAGACTTGTTTCCTTGTGGATTCGACCCTACTTCCCTATCTATGTTAGTTAGTGGTTTTAGGAATTACTTTTGATTAGGTGATACGACTTCAGCCTGTTAGTCGGCCAAGGTGGGGTGGAGAGAAAAGGCCAGATATATATAAAATCTTGTATGCTTAATTAATTACTTGGTAGATATTTTCAACTTGTCCACTCCATACTTTGATCACCCTACTACTATAGTGAAGATTCAGGGGTGAGAGGATATTGATAATTACAGCTCATTAGAGGCGATCATGGTCGACCTTATCATTGGGCTGCCTGAGAATTTCTTACCTATAGCCTATAACTTGTTAAAACTTGGTTTAGTGAGCGGCCTTTAAACTAATAAATACATTTATTTATTTATTTAACTTGCAAATACATTTTCATTATATAAATTATACGACTACAAGTATTTCTTCATTATCTTTTTACTGGTAGTGTAATGTTTTTTTTTAAAAAAGAAAAAAAAAATCATACTTATAAAAGAAATGCTTTAATTGTTTCAATGTGTCATTGAAATACCAAATTTTTTTAATTTAAAGTAAAATACATTGCAAGTAATGCTTTTTTTTTTTTTTTTTTTTTTTTAAAACTCCTATAACAATTATTTCATTATTTGATTAATATCTTTATCGCATGATAATTATGGCATAATGAATAATACACACTATTTTAAACTTTATTTATGTATTTACTACGGAGTATTTACTCTTACACCTATGCACATTTTCACATTTTAATTTCACTTTTATACTATTCAAATACTAACTCTGAGTCTTTGACTTGATTTCTTTTTTACTAATACAAACATCAAATGTTATTATGGTTAGAATAGTCACGTAAATTTTCATAATATCACTTTTTATCAGTTTAATAAATAAAAAGTTGAAGATATTATGATCAATACATGTCAAAGTGTTCCTCTTATTCAAATACAAATTGAGATATACTTAGAGCTTATGTTAAGTACCGTATTAAATAAGTTACAACTAAAAATAAAATTACCGAGGATACAAAAACAACATATCGAGTACAAAGTTCTTTATTTCGCGTATGAATTTAAGAAACAAAATCACTTGTCGATCAGTGAGTTTAACCCGATGAAGGGCAACAACCTTACCTCAAGCCTTCTCCCAAAAATATCTAATCTGTGGTGCAATTATCGAGAGAACAAAAAAATATATTTTATACTGATATAAGTTTGGGTGTCTTAAGTTTTCCATTTTTCCATTCTTTCTCTCTCTTTCTCTCCGCCTCCTCTTTCCCCTTTCTCTCTCTTCTTCACAGCTTCGAAAAAACTCAGAAACTCGCTCACTTCTTTCGATCCGTCGACGCCTTGTTTATGAGGTAATTTCATCTTCTATCTTTTTCATTCCTCCTTTTTTTCTCTGATTTTTTCTTCATTTTGTTGCTTCATATTAATTGGGGTTCCCTTTTTCTAGATCTATTTTATTCTTTAATTATCAGATAATTTTACGCATTTTTTAATTTATTTATTAATCACTGCACGATCGAGTATGGTCTGGTAATTTGATTGTTTTTATTTAATTGTTTGATTGTTTAATTTTTGTGGGAATTGATTGATTTCCACCTTTTCTTCAGCTAGGGTTTCTTTTGAATTGTGAATTTAGGGTTTTCTATGTTATTTTCTTCATTATCTGTTAAATTGATTGATTTTGCCTGATTAAATTTTAAGAACGATTGATTTCTGGGATTTGATTTTCTTTTGAATTGATTGATAATTAATTTCGACTGATTAATTAATTTTTCCTTCTTTTGTTGTTGTTGCAGCTCGAAGGAGAGACCCACTCTAGGGTGAGTTTCATTATCTTTAATTTTAAATTTTAATTATTAGTTTGTTGTTGACAGTTGAGGTTTTTCATTTGAGGTGTCACTATCTACTGAATCATAATGTTTGTATTGATTAGGGTTTGTTTTGTTTTCGATTTGGAGGAAGGGTTAGGTTAGGTGTATTAATTTATGATTTTGTGAGCTTTCGCGATGTGATTGATTAAGTAATTGAACCTTTGACTGACCAGATAAATAAATGGATATTATTATGAACGTAATTCTTCATGTTTAATCACTGTACTTATGCTGTATATTAGTCTTTATGAGCTTCTTTATTTTTTTGTTTAGGTGTCTTGTTTATAATTTTGTTAACAGAGTTGTTTTTTTTGAAGTTTCTATTGATTGTCTTGTGTGTAAATACTCATCCACTGATTTGGTTATCTTTTTTAGTGGTACGCGGATCAAGACCCGCAAACGGAATATCGCAGCTCCTCTGGACCCTGCAGCATTTTCAGATGCAGTGGTCCAGATATATTTGGATAATGCTGGTGATCTGGTAATTTTATGCCCATTTTTTCTCACCAGCTGCGTTTAAATTTTACTGGACATTGCTATGAAAAAGCACAGTGATCTAACACAATATCTACTATCTGCAGGAACTTATCGCAAAGAGCATTGAATCTTCAGAACTCGACTTTTCAAGATACGGGGATACTTTCTTTGAGGCAAGCATCCTATACTGTTTACTACATGGTGATGGAGTTTAGTGGGAGCATATTTATATATTCTGCTATTTCGTCTTGTGTGCTTTACATAGGTATCAATGATATGTCTTTACCTAGCCTTACTCTGTCGAGATTTGCTTCTTGTGTTAGTCATGCTTGCTTTCTCCTCCAAGTGGTAGCTTCTAAATATGAGTAGAGCAATAGCTGATGTGTTTTGAAACTGAAAATAGACTTCATCCATTCAGTGCTTGTCTAGGCCATCAGTCACAACTCTTGTGTGAAATGAATAAAGAGATTTATTGTTGTGAAATCTACCTCTCAGGTGAAAGAAATAGGGGTGGGATGGAAACTCCGTATATTCAATCACCCTTAGTCTTCTGCCATGTAATGCAACACTAACAGCACTAAGGATGTTCTAGAAGTTCCATTTGTTTATCAACATGACCCTTCAGGACTTGGTTCTTGCTCTGGCCGCCCATGTTTCGTTTCAAATTTCATCTGGTGCTCCTTTTTCTCCAATATGTTTCTTTAAAAAAAAAAAAAAAAAGGATATTAAGGAACTGGTCATTCGTCCATTTGATAACGATTTTATAAATGTAAATTAAGTACTTTGTATCATATATCTATAAATTGTGCAAAAGTTTGGAATTGCCCCAAATAACGTTAGTTTGAGCATACATTACATGATGTAGAGAGCATTGTTTTCTTATGTTTTATTAGATGTGCATGATTTTTGTTAAGCTGCAGGGGGGAGGGGCAAGATGTATGCACTCTTTTGTTTGGTTTAGGGGTTTATCTGTTGCTTTGTTTTCTGAGATGTCTATGAAGTGTTAGAAGTTGAGAATGAAACTCTTGTTTTATTATCTTTGCCTTACACATGTCATTTGAGTATTTTTCGAATATTAATTGAATTCTTAGATCACCACTCTGGGACATTCTGTATGCAATTTTAAGTATGGCATTTTTTAAATTTTTTTACACTGCCCAGAATATAACAATTCTTTTATGCAGGTTGTCTTTACCGGGGGCCGCACACAGCCTGGAACAACCAAACCTGATGAGGGGGAGCGCCACACTTACTCTGTAATTCATTGTGAGCCCACACGTGAAGATATTTTGCCATCTGTATTCTTTATACAGAAGATTTTGCGCCGAAGGCCGTTCCTTATCAAGTACCTTGAAAATGTCATGCGAAGATTCTTACAGTCTTTGGAGCTTTTTGAAGACAATGAAAGGAAAAAATTGGCAATATTCACTGCTCTTGCATTCTCCCAGAAGCTGTCAGGTTTGCCACCAGAAACAGTGTTCCAACCCCTCCTCAAGGACAATCTCGTGGCAAAGGGGCTAGTTCTTACATTTTTAACAGAATTTTTTAAGGAGTTTCTTGTGGAAAACACTCTAGATGACTTGATTGCACTCCTGAAGCGTGGTAAAGTTGAAGATAAACTTCTGGACTTTTTCCCATCTTCTAAGAGATCTCCTGAGGCCTTTTCTGAACACTTCACGTGAGTTCTCTTCTCTTTTTTTCCCTGCACTGAATGTTATTTTAGAAGTCTATGTTTCAGTATAGTATTAGTCAACTTTGTCTTGTGTTTTCAAGCTTTGTAGTATACTGGTTTTCCATGGGTGTTATAGTTTAGTACTACAATTTTTTTTTACTTCAAGTTGGTCAGGCACTTGATATATATCAAATTGTGTTCTCCTACCTTTCCTTGCTGTCTTTCTGATAGCTAATTCTCCTTTTTCAGAAAGGAAGGCCTCGTTCCATTGGTCCAGTACAATGAGAAAAAATTATTTGAGCTGAAGCTGGCAGAAATGAAGTCTGCATTAACGACTCAGATATCAGAGGAAGCTGATGTAGAAGAAGTGATTGAAACTGTGAAACATCACGTGAAAGAGTCTAAGCTCCCTGATATTGAGATTGTGCGCCTCCTATGGGATGTTATAATGGATGCTGTGCAGTGGTCTGGGAAAAATCAACAGCAGAATGCTAATACTGCATTGCGCCAGGTATGCTTTGGATTCACGCTCAATGCCTAAGCCTTGTAATTTTAGGTTCTCACTTTGCTTTGACTCCTTTGAGCACATAAAATGATATTTACACATGGTCAGTTTTGTTGGGGCAAAATTGCAAAATTTGATTCCTATATTTGAAGTCCTTTTTTGCTGAAGCATCAAAGCCCTTGAGGATTGTTGTTATTCTTGTTGAATACTGTTGGCGTAGTATCAGTGTTTTGAGTTGTGAATTTTAGTTGTAATCTTATTATTGTTATATAGCCCACTTGACAACTTCTTGATCATAAAGCTGAGGTTCTGATCTTCCCCCTTCTAAATTATGATGTACTTATCTGTATTTACCAGTCTGCATGAGATTAAATGCTCGATGTGATAGATAATTATGGCCCCTAAATAGCATGATGTGCCTCTTGAAGCTACTCTATATGCCTGCAACTAGTTAGCCACTTTTGCTATCATCTTTATGATTTTAGCTTTTGTAACACACTATTGTATTGGCGTACCAATGAGACTTTAAGCTTTCTCATCTGATGCAATTATATTTCTAATCTGATAGGTTAAAACCTGGGCAAAGCTCTTAAATTCCTACTGTACCAGTGGAAAGCTTGAATTAGAACTCATATACAAAGTTCAGATCCAATGCTATGAGGATGCTAAATTGATGAAATTGTTCCCAGAAATAGTCAGATCTTTGTATGACCAGGATGTGCTTGCAGAAGACACCATCTTGCACTGGTTCCGCAAAGGAACAAATCCCAAGGGAAGGTAAAGTATTCAAATCCAGATCATAAATTCTTTGAAGTGCTCTTTGACGTCTCTCACATCTGAAATCTGAGTTTATTGCTGGTATTTGACATTCTTCTTTTTATTTGGGGATTTTCCAGGCAAACTTTCGTGAAGTCACTTGAGCCCTTTGTGAAATGGCTGGAAGAGGCAGAGGAGGAAGAATGAACTCAGCATTATTGTAGGAGTTCCCCTACCTGTCCTTCAAGTTCTCTTTGTCCTTTAACGCTTTGTGCTCCCTTGCTAGGACCATGAAAATATTTGATGTGTTTTTGAATTTCTGATGACACGATTTGAGTATTTGCAATAATCTTTTGTTTCCTATCTACCATGAGTTTGTTATACCCCATTGATGATTTGATCGGTTTTGTATCATGAAATGGTTTAAAGCTGTCATTGCAGCAAATTATGAAGTTATTTTACGTTTTTGTTAATGTCTTGGATCATTTGTTGTCTCAAGATTTGCTTGATTGGAGCTGGTAACATCATGTTCAATCCAATCAGTTTCGATATTCCTCTAGGGTATGGAGTTATCAGCTTTTGCATAATTTGCATTACCTGAAGTGCTTGTTAGGGGTAAGAACGCGTTCATCATGTTTAATCCAATTGTTTTCAATCACCATCTTAAAAAATCAGCAGCTTTTGCTTCATTTGCATTACTTGAAGTGCTTGTTACTTTGTTAGGAGTATGGGCCATACATCTAGGTTATAGGAATTCACATTGGCCATTGATTGAAATTCTTACTTGTAGATGATTTTTTGATAGGAATGGGCATTTATGTGATTATTATGTCTGCAATGCAAACCATTTACAATGTTTCTTCAGATATTAGCCATATATCCTATTGTCAAATGTTAATGACTAATTCTAGCCTTGCTAATTTAAAGGTACTAGAACAAAACGCCAAAAGATTCAAAAATATTTTAAAGTAATATTAATCAGTTACTCCTACAAGCCTTTCTGTCTCCAAGGTCTCGATTAGGTTTTTCTCCTTTCGATTTAACATTGTGATCTTAAACTTTTCTTCTCTCCTAACCAAGGACGGATCTAGAGAGTGGCGAGCCTAGCCTAGGCTATGGCCTGTCCTATGATCCAAAAAAGTGCACTACTTCATGTAATCTATTATGTTGCTAAGTTGCACTATAATAATTTGAAAATAACTTGGATGAGTTAATTGTGTTATTGTCTGTTTAAAGTTTGGATTTCAAGATCAAAACCTAAAATTTTCTGTTTTTTTCTCCCTTTTTTCTTGTGTTTTTTAATTGCTATTTCCATTGCTCAATTTTTAACCTTTTTTTTTTGTGGCTTAAGGAGTCATAAATATGTATATTTTTGTAATCTTTCTTCTTATTCTTTGTTGTAGAAATTAATGTAAACTTAATTTATAATTGTCATTGAGCACTACCTTATTGGCATAAAAAATCTTCAATTTCTTGTTATAGACAAATAGATTATTTTAAAGTAAAACTGGTATTGTGCAAGTTCAGAACCTTACCATCTACTCATTTTGCAAATAAAATTCAATCGAAGCTTCACAAAATATGTTACATAAAATCATAAAATTATGTTAAACAAAAACTAAAGGTCCATCGGAAACTAATTTTACATCAATTGAAATTTTGCAAACCTAGAGATTGTGATCTTATTGAAAAAAGAACGATATCAAATATCTAAAATTTTCCTTTCAACGAATTGTGTGATATGTATGATTTATTCCGCAACAACCATTATTATGAATTGTTTTAATGTAATTGCATAATCACCAACTTTGCAGAGCCTTGAATTAGTATTGTCAGGATAAACAATCAAAGTCTCAAAAAGATTGAAAATTTTAGTACAGTACATGCATTAGCTAAAGGCAAATTAGTTAATACAAAAGCAAATTTGTTAATACAATCCAAAACCATTGCGATTACAAATGAAAGAAATTATAATATTTACTTAATTTACTTGTATTTACCAGCTCTAATCACATGTATTATGTACATACAGAAGAGAGCTGCCTTGAGCAAAACTATTTCCAGAACTAATGAAGTTAGTTGAGCAAATTCATTCTAACAGTCTAAACCCATCCAAGAAATTAAAGAAGGCGACTTTCTATAATAGCTTACTTGTACTGCAGATCATTTGACTAGGGAGAATGCTGAGGATCCTCTCTTTTTCTAAAAAGGTCAAACAATTGTTGACTATACTTCACAGCAAGTCGTCTGCATTCTGCACGATCTTCCTGCTGTAGTTGATCCACTGACTTCTTCATTTTGCCGCTTGGATCCCCATCTATACGAATCTTTGCCAGAGCAGACACACTGGAAGCAAGATACACGTTTTAGGCAAAATAACAACTATTTAAGTTTTTATTTGTTTATTTGATGGTGAATAAGATGAGATAAGATTTATTAGGCAAGTATAATTCACTGCTATAGACAGAACTTCCATCACTAATTCACTATCAATGCAATACTAGTCTGCACAACTGCTTCGTGCCAAAAAATCCCAGCATGTTTTCCCTCTGATGAAAGTAATCGGTGATCGGGGGGTCATTCAAGGCTTCAACATGAATAACAATACAACAGGGGGTTCAATTTCTACATGAAAAAAATATTCTTGAATAAAAACATCACTTATATTTACACATAGTTTTAAACGAGTTTGTGGGTGAGACAAGAAAAATAGAAGTATTATGACATAAAAGTGGGGCAAGTAGGGTATGAAAAGTAGTATTACAATGTTATAGCATGGTATGATCTTGTCATATGATTTGGAAGCATTAATAAAAGTGATGCAATTGCATGAAGACAAGAGAAACGTAAAAAAACGACTAATTGAATCATTCACATCAGAAAACCTACAGTTAATTAAAATCCAATATAGTAATAGTTACCTGCCAATGTCACATTCCTCCAATCCTTTGCTTCCTAAGCAAATCAAACCATTCACCCCAGATAAGGCAGACTTTTGTAACCTATACAATGCACACACTGCCTTGGCACAAAGGTCATCATCCTGATCGAAAGCACAGACTATATCATATTCCAGTTTTTTGTTATGCCTCTGCTGAATAGTCAGTAACTCTTTAGCCTGAGGGCTCAACAGATTATTGGATTTGGGGGTTCCACGACTATAATTACTGTCATTGCCATTCGAGAATCTAGACAATGGCACCCTATCTTCTCTCCTGTGCTTTTCTTTATTATTTTTTAGTGTTGCCAATTTTTGCTTCTGAGAAGTGTTAAGTGCATGGTCACTTCTAGAAGCTGACAAAACAGCATGTGTAGGTACCTGCTTGGTTTGTTCACACATCACATTATTGAGTTTCTTCATCTTATGTATTGGGTGCCTGCGCTGCTCTAACAAACTCCCAGGACATCGTCCTTTGTCTTTGACACCATTTTCATCATCACTGTCGATGATGATAGGATCAGCAGACGTAGACCTCTTGCTGCCAGCATCCACGTCATCTCTTGAAGTTTCAGTCTCAAAATCCAATTTCCTTTTAAGTCTCTGGGCAGCTGCGAGAGATTGCTTTTCAGGCTTCAAACAGCATTTAGGTGCATTAATGCGTGCAACAAAAGCTGCATCTGGAATAAAAGAGAAACTATTAAAGGGGTAACGAAGAAACATATTTCTATGTATAACCACGGATAGTAAGATCACATAACTCTTCAAAAGTTAAAGATATCGAACCATGGCTCTTCATAAATAAAAAGGATTAACAAAATAGATTCCAGCAGGCTAAAACAGTCACTTGTTTGCTCAAAATCAAAAGCACATTTCTAACATATACAAGAGAATTCTATGTCATTGTGATTCCAGATGCGACTTTTCACACTCATAGCAGACCAAGATCCTCCCTCTTCAAATCGCCTATGACCATAACAGCAGTACAATGTACAATTTTTCATAATGAATGTTCTATGCTAGCTCCTTTAAACTAAGTAATCAATGAACTAGAATATTTCAACACTTTAGGTTTCTTTAGGCCTTGTCATACCTAGGTTGTTTCATGATCAAACTGCAAGAAAGCATTTTATGGTATCTCTCACTTAATTTCCATGAGTTTAATACGTGAAAATATAAAACAAAAAGTGACGTATATAATGAGATTGACAGCATGTACAAGAGAAAGCAAATTTGATTAGCAAAATAAAAAAATGTATGAATATCAAAGTAGAAGAAAAATGGGACATGCATTTTAATCTTGCATGGATTTTCAGTATCTTTTGGGGGGATCTAACAACCCTAATATTGCAAGGGTCATGTAAAAATAATTATGTTATGAACTTGACAATGCTAATCACTAGTAATAAACTAATAAAGAACTCCTATAGCAAATTACTAAGCAGCAAGATTCTAGTAAGATTACACAAGCAGATGTGAGGTATTAAACAAGGAAAGAGTCATGTAAAGTCCTTCACACTCAAGATGAAGCGTTATTTAATCCACAAAAGCACGTGCAAACAACGACACATATCCATGTCATCATTTCAAGCCTAAAAATTTAATCACTGCAGTAGTAACGCCAATCTAGCATGCAGTTGCATCCACTAAATTCAATAAGGTAAGAACGTCCTCAAGCATGCACCAAGTAATTTCATGCAATGATGTATGCACTAGCAATACACATGAGATACGAGCCAAATTTTCTTGATTGCTCAAAGGACAGAACATGTTAGCAGGTTAACAGTGTATTCAAGCGAATGAATAAGCCCCTTAGATGCATGGTTTCCCATTTTACTCTACCAGGGTTCATCGATAATCACCAGCCGTTAAGCAAAAGGACCAAAACCCTAATACATGCCACATCAGTCATTGTATTAATTCATTTCCGCAATCCAAACTCCTTGAAATATTTGGGGGGGGGGGGGGTGATCTGTATACAAAACACTTACTTGCACCTTTAGTTTCAAAACCTAAATAACTAGACACGTGAAGAGAACTTGATGAAACAGCATATACGGAATAAATGTAAATGTAAAAAAAGTTAAGAACCTAGCCAAATTAAGGGATAAAAGATTATAGACCAAAAAAAACTCAAATGGTATACTTCGAGACCAGAAAGTGATTCTATTTTCTTGGATGACATTACCTTTACCTATGCTCTCAGCCCCTCAACAGCTTAACTTATCCTCGGACAACTCTAATGAACGACATAGGCAACCACATTGATCTCTTAAAACTTTGCACTTCACAGAAAGAAAGAGATGCAATGATTTTTTTTGCCTTCATTAATATAGAAGTTTATTTCTCTTTTCGACTAAAATTGATCCTATTCACCAAATAAATAACCATTTCATGATATCAATGAATCAAATTACACTATGGTGGTACATTACAAAGAACTTGTGCTAATTTGTCTCAAAACTGCCAAAACAAAATAAAAAGCATCCATTCTCCACCAAATATTTGCTGAAAGAAAAAAGAAACAGCCTAGCC